TTCAAGACAATGACAGAGGTATTCAACTTTAGAACCTTCATTAGACTGTGCAGTAACTCCCAGAAGGGTCATCATCCATCTTGGACCCTTTATTTGGAGCATGAAATGAAGGCCTTCACTTAACACAGCTCTCACTTCCCTTCCCAGGCCCATCCTCTGGGTTTTACAGAGGCAGGGTTTATATGCAGTTTTGAAGATTTCAATTAAAAATTGTCTAATTCAACAAGCTTTACTGAGTGCTCGCTATACATGCAATTGCTACTTAACCAGCTGGTCTGGAATTCTTTCTCATTTTTCCTCTAGAGGGGTTCTTTTGATTCTTAATGGGGATCCTCCTTTATCAAGCCTTCTCCAGTCCCTTAGAGAAGACTCACCTATTCCGAGCTCCACCGCCCTTTGAGAATTCTCCTGGAGACTTCCTTGAGCCCTATCACATAGCTCGTCAAGTATGGCCACATCTTCCCCATTGCGCTGTGGTGCCCCCAGCTGTGTGTCCTGCCCACAGGAGATGCTGAGAATCAGTACTGAACACTTTAGATAGTTGAGAAAGCCTAGGGGGTAGGGTGGAAAGCCTGAAGATAGCAAATCAAAGTTCCCTGTGCATTATTCACCAAGCTCAGGGGGTAGACTGAGAAGGACAATGCTCAGCCTCAGATGTGAAGGGAGGAACCCAGAGAATGCGGGTTCAAGGTCGAAGTAATCGGAATTTTTATCCCATCACCGGGCAATAATTACACTGTCTTACCAATTGATCTCCTCCAGTTGCTTCTGGAAAATACATGGCGCATACAGGGCCCTCAGTAAGTATTGAATGAACCAATGATGGTTTCATCTCTCCATCTGTTTGTCAGATTTTTTATTCTTCTTAACTACTCTTCAACCTTCCTCCTCAATGCTGCAATACTGTTACTGCCTTCCCTCCTCTCTCTCTATCCTTTTCTCTCTCATTCCTTTTCTCTCTCTATTCTCTCTCATCTACTAATTCCATCCATAAGACTGAGTGCAAATGTGTACAACTGCTTTCAAATTATGGAGAAGAAAACAGAAGTCCCAAAGCTGAAACTAAACACTACAGATCACACAGCTAATAATAGATATGGTGCAGACAATGCCGTAATTCCTTTGATCCCTTGACTATTTCGTGTGCATCAATCCATGCACTAGCAACAACCCCTGCAGCTAGTACCTGTGACTCTTCCACAGAGAGCTACCCCAGGATGCCAGAGCCCACTTTGTGAGTGTCCATGGGGAACTAGAAATGCCTGCTGCTTAGACCTCCCCTGCTCCCACCACCAAGGAGCAGTGGGTCCGTTGACTTATGATTGATAAGTGTGATAGCATGAGGATGACAGCTCCCTGGCCCCCCACTTGGCGGCTCTGATGTGTGATCCACCATCCCCAGAAGGCCCAGGTGATTAAGCCAAAGTGACCCTCAGAGGACTTCCTGGATGCCCCGTCTTTGTTTTCCCCCTCCTCTGCCCCATCTGTCTTACTTGGAAACCACCCCAGTAAAGCTCATTCACACAAAGCCTCATCTCAAAGCCTGCCTCTGGGAAACCCAGCCTATGGCAAGGTGAAACAGCATCAAACCCAAGCCTGTCTGACCTCCAAGTTTGTTCCACTACATTGTGCTTGAGGTGTTATTGCAATCGTACTGGTCTGCTCTTCATTCATTTCAGTCATTTGGAAGATCGAATGGCCAGGGTGGCTCCAGGCACCCTGTAGACAACAGACCCATCTGCATTCAAACACTCTGCTCAGCCTTTCCTATTAGAAGTATATTGTCCTAGAGGCCAAGACCTTTGGACTTCTCAGCAAGTGAAATAAAGGACTCAAAGGGAAAGGGTTTTTTCCAACTTGCCTTTGTAATTTTCCTTCACCTGAGTCCATAATTACATAGAAATGAAAATGGTGTATATTTTTAATGTTCTCTCTCTCTCTCTCTTTTTTTTCCTAGAGAGATTTTTGATATAGGGTGCGTGTGCTCACCACCAGAGATAGAGAGAGAGAGACAGAAAGAAGAAATCATCCCCTAGAGGAGATGGCCACACCACAATCCCTTCTCCTCCATTCTCCTCTTTGGGTTGTGGGCACACACACACACACGCACCTGGCATGAGTTTTAAGCCACTGGGTCCATGACTTGAACTGTGGTCAACTATGTGGGAGTCCAGCAACATAACAATTATGCCATCTGCTGGTCCTTAATGTTCTCTCTTTTAAGCATTATTATAGAAATAATATAATGACATTAGAAGAATCTGAAATGGTACAGGGAGCCCAGTACACTCATCTAACCATTTACAAATGATTTCATTTACAAACTATCTCTTTTCTTCCCTCTACTTATGAACCATTCCCAGTACTCTAACCAGCCACTTTCAAACCATCCTTCCAGCTGTTCTCACAGCTGCTCACCTAACCCTCAGGTCCCTGCAGTTCACTTGGTTGCAGTCTTGCTTAAATGCCGAGATCTCCTTTGTGTTTTTCCTTAGTCCATGAGGTTTTTCATGTTGTGACACAGTCCCTGTGGCTGTCTTTGTTGTGGGACACATTGGATGTACCATAAGTTATCACCGTTTTGTTTGCTTTTAAAATTTTGCCATTTGAAATAAGATTGTGCTGAATATGCCACTTTGATTTGCACCTACTCTTTTTCTATATTTAAGATTATATCTTTAAAAGCAATTCCCAAGACTTGCATTATCAGATAAAAGAATCATATTTATGACTTTCAATGTACACCATATTCCCCCCCCCCAGTCCCACCTCTACCAAAATGCATACCAACTTATAACATAAGCCAACTTGAAACAAAGGTTATTCCAAAGTCATGGTGGCTTTTCAGTTTTTAATGAGTTCTAACTAAACAAATTTGTTTTAAATGTCTCCATTTAGTGTAAAGGTCTTGAGACATTCTCTAGAGTGGATACTGACCTCAGACACTGCTTGTGAAAATGGCAAAGAGCCTGAAAATGTCAAACTGGAAAGTGACATTTCAGTCACCCTCCTTAATATATGTATTTCTTGTACAGCTTCCAAGCTTGCTAACTGAGAAGCATTTCAGTTAGGCTTTAGTCTTGGGACTCAAGTTGCCTAACTGATCCAGTCACCTTCCTGGACACTCAACACAGGACGTGTCCTGGCTGATGTAAGCTGAGTGAGTAGGGTGTGTATTTTGTGGGCATTAGCACATGCTTACAGCGTTAAAAACAGGATAAGGAACATAGACAAAATAACCAATAGCTCAAAGAGAGGATTAAATGTTCTCACCACAGGAAGAATGAGAAATATTTGATGTGATGGATATGCTGCGTACTCTAATCTGACCATTCTATGATATTAGCATGTATCAAAATACCACTTACTACCCATAAATATGTGCAATTCTGTGTCAATAAAAAATCAAATAAAACTGGGACCAGCGGTTAGCATAATGGCTATGTCGCTGAACTCTCTTACAGCCGCTGCGGTTCGAGTCCTGGACTTGGTGGCTTAAACTCATGCCAGGCACGTGTGCGTGTATGCCCAAGATCCCGAGAGGAGAATGGAGGAGAAGGGATTGCAGCATAGCCATCCCCCTGGGAGGTGATATCTCGCTTTCTGTCTGTCTCTCTCTGTCTTTCTGGCGAGTGCACGAGTCCTATAGCAAAAACCTCTCCAAAATAATAATAATAATAATAAATAAAATAAGACTAAAAATAAAAGAATGGATTCCCATTTTCTCAACTACCCTGAGGTTTACCCAAGTCTGCCCTGAGGTTTAGTCTTCTCATTTCTAATAAGTAAGAATGGATTAGAACAGCCTTCTCAGGGCTGCTCCCTGAATTTGAGGTCTAGATCTTGGATGAGACCATAGACCATCTGAGAATTCTAGTGAAATAATGGAGAACTCAGCCAGTTTCCTAGAAGCTTGATTCCAGATAATAGCAGATATTCATGTGGATAGCTATTCCATTGATTGGCCAATTTTTATACTTTTGCTTTTTTTTCCCCCCCCCCAAATCTAAAGAGTCATGTTTTCCTCAACACTTCAACATTTCAAAAGGAGCCAACTTGCATTTTGTTCCAAGAAAGAATTTTGTTATGAGGTTAAAGTAAACGACAAAATAGAAAAGTCACTCTCAAGTCCATTTCTCATAAATCTCAGCACCTCGATTTTCTTCCAGTCACACCCCAGCCTTAACCCCAGTAAGTCAGTGAGAGTTGCGGGTAGGGGTGGGGGGGACACAACTGCCTGCCCAGAAAAGGTCCTGCAGCAGCTCCCCTATCTTGGCAGGCCTTTCTGAGTTCGGAAAACTCCTGAGCAATCCTGATGAAAGTCCTATCCCAGTTCGAACTTCACAACTGAACAAACCAGTTTTACAACTCACAGGAATTTAATTTGGCCTCAGTTTTGGGGGTGGGGGAGACCAAAGAAGTGAAAAGTTGGCAACTGGCATTGAGGCACCTAGCCAGCCGGGTCCAATTAAGAAGCATTAGAGCTCTAATGACAGGCTTGGAGAGGAAGGTGCAGCGAGATCACAAGGTTCTGCCACAGCCCGCAAATGGGAAAGTCTCCAGGTGACCCCTTCGAAAAAGCAAGGTGTAAGGAGAACCCAGCTCTGTACACTCCCCTGCACACCTAGTGAAAACGAGCCCAGGTCTAGAAACTGGCCAAACATTCATCCCAGAGCAAAGTCTCATGGAAGCCTAAAAACATCTATGAGGCACCCTCGGGTACAGCAAAACATGAAATAGCAGTTTTGCACGTCGCTCTCCGCTGCTGGGAAATCGGAGCGGCACTGCCTGGTGCGCCTCATCCTCCTCTTCCCCCGGTGCCTGCCCTGTCGAGCACACCTCCTGCAACGGTGAACCCCAGCAAGGCGGTGGAAACACTGGGACATGGGTTTCCATACTCCATGCCAAGGATTTTATTTTAAGCCCAATTTGACAGTCCCACGAAAGCAAAGAAGTCTCCAATCCTGCCCTCCGTGGCAACAGCGGTGCCGCCAGCTTACCTGTCACCAGGACTGCCTTTTGATCCACAGGTAACAACTCTTGGCCAGATAAGCGAGTGTATATGAGGAAACACAACGCGGAGAAGAGGATAAAGCCCCAGAAGAGAGACAGGCTCAGCAGGCAAGCCCCTCCCCAGAGGCCAGCGAGGCAGATGCAGCTCCCCAACCATCCTGAGCTTTTGCATTTGCAAAGAACCGTCCCTCCTAGCACTGCGGTGACAGCCAGGCAGAGCCACCCGGTCTCAGAGGAGAAAATGCTCATTCTCAGCGACTTACTGCACTGAGTGTGCTCAAGGCCAGCAAGTCCAGTGGTCAAAGGCTGGCTGCAGGCAGCCTGGGTTATATGAATGGAGAGGAAAGAAGGGAGGGGAGAAGACAGCCCCGGAACCCTTTGAATGAGCACGGAGTAAGCATAACCGTGCAGGCATATACTCCAGTGGGTAATTTAATCCCCTGTGCACTAAGTACGAAGATCAGGACACTTCCTATCTCATCGCTCCCCACCCTGCCCCCTGCACACACAACACCTACACACACCACAAGCAAATGTGTGCCTCTTTTTTGTTGTCCTTGTTTTTAAATGGCAGTTCCACCTCTGGAGAGATGACTAATTGGATAATAATTGACAGAATTCAGAGAATAACAAAACCTCTGGCTCCCAGGAAAATACCCGCTTCTCTTTCAGAACCCTGCAGTTGCCTGTCTGTCGAATGTATTTTCTGACTCAGAATTGATTGTGTGTGCACGTGTGTAAACCAGGGTTGGAAGGTAGCTAGATTCTGGAAAGGAAGGCGTCACGGCTGTGACCCACGTCCACAGCACTCCTGAAGCAGGTGAAAGGCGTAGATGGGGAGTACCTTAGAACTACGGAAGCGACTTCTCGGCAGACAAATGCTCCGGTCTTTCCCAAGGAGAGATACACCATGCGATCGCAGAGTGATCCCGCTAACTAACCATGGCCAGCATGGGTGGGTGTTTGTAACACGGCCTGTGTTACTGCAAGTCCACTCTGAGCCAGGCTCCATTCTAGGCCCTGCGACTCAACAATCCACATGTTCAGTCTCTTCAACTACAACATTCTTAGGGAGAATGGATTATTACAGCAATTCTAACCATTGAGACAACAGGGGTACAGAGAGGTTAAGAGACTTGCTCTGAAGCAGACCCCCATTTTGAACTCCTCTCTATTTTGGAAGCTTGCTTTCTCCTTTTACCTAGAGTAAACGGTGACTAACGCTCCTACTATCTGTGCTAAATAACCTGAAACTCTCCATCTAAGATGTTCCTTAGTGATGTGTAATCAGCAGTCACCAGACCCCTTGCCCTGGGCCATGAAGACCTTTAAGATTCCATTATGTTTGTGTAAGGACTAGAAAGTCCTCAACCCTAAAGCTGCCCCCAAGTAGCAGTGCTTAATTTTGCTTCTTTAAAATGCTTGTGCAAGCTCACTCCTTCCCCTTGTCACTTCTCCCTCCTCTTTATCCCCCTCCTCCTGTTCTTGCCATGTCAACCCAAATGTGGTTTTTGCCTTTATAAGCTCCTTCTCCCTACACTCAGGGCTGCAGGGCTTTGAGAGATGTAAATCCCCACCACCACCCGCATACCACTGGCTTAGTCAATAAAACGCCAATAATTTGGCTATGTCTAGATGTCCTCTTATTTCTTGCTGATTAGACTATAACATCTGGAGTCCCCAGCGAGAGGGAGTACCTACTGGTACTTGGGTGAGGCAGCCCAGAATGGCAGCCTCGGTCGGGCAGGCTGCCAGTTACCCAGAGAGTGCTCTAGGGGAGACGCACCACCTGGGATCGCCCAGGTCCCCAGAGCCATCTTTGGGATTGTTGACAGCCAGGCTAGAGACACTGAATACTCCTTCAAAATTGTGGAGTTCTAGTATAATAATTACTCCAAGGCATTTTTCCTGGTGTTCCTGTCTCATTTGAAACTTCTTTGGAAAATAAATCGATGAGTAGGAGGTTGGTGGGGGAAAGCCCCCTGAATCTGACCTGCTGGACCAGGGGGTTTGATCCAGGCGGCTGGATCCAGGGCTGACTGGATGTGGTTAGAGAGCCGCTACTTAGATTCCACCAGGCTGTGCTGGAACCTGGGGCTAGATAGTTGTCGGGAATTCGAGTCTCCGCCGGCCCTTAGACAGTCTGTGGTAAATCAGGGTCTGAGCCCCTGGGTATGTAGGATCTTCCACACGGGCTTCTTTTGCTTTTACTGTTGCTTCAATCATTTTCTCCATATGCTCACCTGTATGATATCATTTGGTTCTATCCCTGCAAGAAGTGGCATTGGTCGGTCTCAGATGGGCAGCCTCAGATGAGAAGAGCTTTTCCTGGGACTAAACGTTTTCCTGGGGCTGACCAAGAGCACTGCTGGTGCTGGAAGCACCCCCTGGATGGGTTCCAGGACTCGCCTGCTACCTCTGTTTTCTCCCGTTTCAGCATCTGGTGGAGGACCCTCTTTGATCTTCGTTTTGTTTCTCTTTTTCTTCAACCTTTATTCTCACTGTAAAAGTGCACTCTGGGGGAGGGAATGTTATAACCTCTGGAATGAATGGTGAATGCTTGAGTGAGAGTGTGTTTGTGGCTCCACGGCTTTGGCTACGGAGTCTGAGTGGTCCCAATCTGTTGTTCCACGAAGGCCTCATACAACCAGAAGGTAAAATTGACACTGGGGATCACTGACCCTCCCTGCACATTCAATCCAATGGTGGGTTTACAGCCTGTTACCAAAACTAAGAGGCTCCTGAGAGTCCCCACAAGAGGCACGGCCAGGCAGACACCTGATTGGCCTCCTCTTCAGAGGGGACACTCACCCTTTGTCTGTCTCACAACCATAGTGGAGGGCAAAAATGGAAGAGTAGAAAAAATTTTAAATAGGGGGGGGAAAAAAAAAAAGAGTTTGCTCTTCCCACGACTGCTAGGTACCTCTGTCTTGGAAGGCTAGGTCCTTTATTTATGGAGATCCTCTTGGGCCAGTGAGACGGGGCACCTACCCCTTGCTGTCTTACATCGCTGTCGTTGGAGGAAAGTGGAGAAGGACCACTCCCCTTTTCATGACAGGCAGGCCTCTCTGTCCTCAGAAGCTCGGTCCTTTGTTTCTTGAGAAGGTCATAAAGAAAGTCCTAAAACAAAGAGGCTCTGCAGGTTCTTGGCTGCCTTGGACTGCAGTCTAAGGACTGCATGCTTTGTTAGCAGGTGATGCGGCAGAGGTGCAAGCTGGATTCTTGACGGGACTTTACCAGGCCCCTGTCCTAACCCATTTCCTCTGCTGTCGAGAGGAGTTTGGCGGGGCCCCAGTCCACCTTCTCCTAGTTCACCTCTTTCTGGGTGAGAGCCCCATCCTCCTTTGTGCTCTCTCGGGCTCCCCTCAGCTGCTTCCTCAGTGTCCCTGCTTTAGAAATGTCTCTGTTACTTCAGCCCTCTGGCATCTTACCTGCGCTCTAAGGGACGCAGAAGTTCCCCTTACACCGATGAACTGGGACTCTCTTTTACACCTGAGTCTTGTTAGCCTTGCTGTTCTAACTACACCCCGGCTAGCTGGGAAACCGAGGCATTCAAGAAGTGATCCTTCTCAGCACTATCACCGGGACTTGCCTTGTGACGATAAGAGGTACGGGTAGAGGCAAGTCGGTCTCGAAATGCCCCAGGGTACATCCTGACCAAGGAGCATACTTGCCTCTTTAGAAATCATGGACAGCCAGGACAGTTCCTTTCAAAGTCCCTTAAAGTGCAAGTTTAAGCATTTCAGTGAGGAGTTTGTGGAAAGTTGTGATTATGCCATCAAACTCTCCATCCAAAAAAACTGAGAGGGCCTTTTAAAAACTTAGAAGGCGTGGAAATATCAGAAATACTTATGCTGTAAAAACTCCAATGGTGAAAACAACAAGTTAAAGCCCACCATCCTTAAGTGTATAATTAAAATTTCAAAAAAAGGAATTACTCTAAAGAGTATTAGCATCAAAGTAACCCCAAGAAAATTGGTTCTTATAATCCTGATGTGTGTGTGCATCCATATACATAATATGTCATGTTACGTACTATATGTTGTATGTCTATGTAAAAGGCCTTAAAATGTTTAATTTAATTTGGTTTATAAAAAGAGAGCTCATACTAATTAGTTTAAATGCTTTCCAAGTTCACATAACTTTAGTAACTAAGCCAGCTTCAAATATAATGAAAAAAAAGATTAATAAATAGAAGTCTTCACAATTTCCAACGTATATTTTGTCCAGGCTTTTATTAGCCAAGCAACATCATGTTTATCTTAATATGGTTAGTTTAATGAAATAGCTAGTATTTATATGTTGTATGTTGTATTTTACATAGTAGATATATAACAGAAAAACAAACAATTTATGACTAGCTTTTTCTGACTTTAGTTTTAGTGCTAACAGAGGATCTTTGACCTCAAAGTAACTTATAAAATGTATAAAAAAACCCCCAAAAAAAAAAAAAAAAAAAAAAAAAAAAAAAAAAAGTTAAACCAATCAGGCTTAGTCTTTATATGTTGGATACAAATAAAAAGCATTGTTAAATTAAGTAATTCTAATTTTCTTGGCATTATATTTGTGTTATATATATAATTATGTTATTTACTTATATATTATTTACTTATATATCTATATATGCATTGTGTTCCAAAATAATTTGAGATTCCCAAAAATGTATGGCAGGTTGCTATGTTAAACTGGTATAGACAGCCAAATTTCTTTGTCAGTTATACATTTTTGTCAGAACATTGGCTATGTTGGTTCAAGTCTTATGGTCCATGAGTAATTGCTTTGTTTGATGCCTTTCTAAAAGCTTTTTGCAAATGGCTATAATCCTAATGTTATGTCCTAAAAAAAATTCACAAAAAGAATAGGAAAAAAAATGTACTCTTCCAAGTACAGGTTTCTAAATATCTAATCATTTAACTGGGTAAAATTTTCATTTTCTATAAAAAATAATTGGTTTTCTAAAGTGTTAAGCCAAAATTAACTTTAAAAAGTAAAAAAAGTTCAACAAAATTGTATATTAAATAGCAAATGCAATGCACCTGAGTTAAAGAGGTAAAATTGGTATAAAAAATATAAATCCAATGTTAAACATAGACTCATAAAAACATCAATGCCTGGTTTCCTTTGAGTCCTCCTTATAATTCCTGTTGTTAACATGCTTTAGTTATTCCTATTATTGGTCTTTACATTTAAAAAAAATTGAGAGAGTCTATTAGTAAAATTGTTCAGTTTTACATAAAAAATTGTTAAACAAATTTTGCTATTGTGTGTACATGTTCATAAACTGCTAGTGTATGGTAAAAGTTAAGATTGCCAAAAATCAAACTTTCGATCCATATAGATATATAAAATTCTATTTTTACAAGCTTAATAGCTCCTCTAAAAAAATTCAATTTCCCAAGGTGAAAGGGAAAGATAAGCATGGATGGTAACTAAAAACTGGACCTATATATATCAGAGAAAAAGCTAGAAAACTCTGTTCCTCCCAGGCTACCCTGGAGCTGCATAAGTCCAGCATTGTCTTCCACTGGAACCCCAAACCCAGCGAGAGCACAG